AAAAATGATATAAAAGAAACAAGAAAAAAAACAAAAGAAAAGAGACAGAAAAAAGTAAAAACGAAACAGAAAGTAAAACAAGGAAAAAAAAAACCAAACGAGGATCAAAATAAAAAGGAAAAAAAACCATGAAACAAAAGAACGAAAACAAAAACAAAAAGGAAAAGATGGAACATGGTGTATATATATTTTGTTTGTGGAGGTGATGGTGGGACCCATTAGAGTTAGTGGTGTCTTGCATTTCCCATAAAGCTGACAGTAGCAATGTAATTTTCAAACTCTAGACTCCATCTTTGCGCCTTTGACATTAATTACTCTGAAAAAAAAGCTGTGAATCTATCAGTGCAATGGGGGCAAGAGAACGGACTCCTGCAACCTCAGCGTCAACGGCGAAGAGTTTCGACGATTCCAGCTACGGTAAGGACCCAACAGGCAGCATCAGACTCCAATCTACCTTCGGAGGCATCGACCCTAGAGAAACAAAGCACCTGCGGCAACTCAAAGACAATGAAAATAGTCCTCGACAACGGTTTACGGTGATTTCGATGAAGAACAAATTTAGGCGGCTTCGACCCTCAACAACTCCGGCAGTGGCGACGATCGGCATCTGGCAGTAGCAGGGATCAACGTCCATGGTTTCTGGTCTCGCAGTGTCAGTTTGCAGGGGCATGGAAAAAAAAAAAGAAAAGAAAACAATGCTCCAGTGATAAGTTTCAAGCTATCCCCAGTAGCGAACAACGACTGCAGAGCACCTATGGCGCAACCTTCGGCAGCAATGGATCTCCTGCAACAGACGGAAAAGAACTCCAATCAATCCCCAGCAGCGGCGACGATCGGCATCCTGCAGTGGCAGAGATCAACATCCATGATTTCTGGTCTCGCAGCGTCAGTTTTCAGGGGAATGAGCAAAAAAAAAAAAAAAGAAGAAAACAATGCTTCAGTGATAAGCCTCAAGCCATCCCCAGTAGCGAACTCCAGCTGCAAAGCACCTATGGCGCAACCTTTGGCAGCAACGGATCTCCTGCAACAGACGAAAAAGAGCTCCGGCGACCTGCGGTAGACGAAAAAGTACTCCGGCGGGCAACAGTCCGGCATCCTCCAACTGAAAAAAAAAACAACAAAAAACCCTCCGACGACTCGTTGCTTGTTGTTCCGTGTGATCAGCCCAGTAGTAGTCTCCGGCGATTCAAAAAAAAAAAACAACAACAAAAACCCTCCGGCGACTCGTTGCTTGTGGTTCCGTGTGATTAGCGCAGTAGTAGTCTCCGGCGACTTCAAAAAAAAACAAAAAAACAAAAAAACGTCCGACGAAGTTCACGGTGAAGAAATGGAGTTGGGTAGCAGACTCCAGCGGCGATTTACGACCGGCGGCTTCTGTGAAGAACTCCGGCAACCTCTTAAGAAAAAAAAAAAAAAAAAAAACCAAGTGCTTCCAGGTTGCTTCCCAGTTTATGTTGTTCCCAAACTCCCCTTTGTTTTTTTTTTTTTTTTGTTTTTTTTTTTGTTTTTGCTGTTCGATGCAGCCGTACAAATCCTGCAAATAGAACATATATGAAAGAAGATAGAATATAAGAATTTACCTGATGGAAAAGAAACTCCAAGAAGCGCTACTCCCGGACTTGATAGAAAAAGCAGATTGTTCTTGATCTTCTTTCTTGTTGATTGCTGTGGGTTTGGGGGTGATTGAGATGGATGGTATTTATACTGAATCGCGAGGAGATGATGCTATCCTGATTGAGCGAAGTTGTTGGATGGTTGGAGTTGATTATGTGCTGAAATTACGTATGAGATAAGGCTAAGTGTTAGTTCTGTTATTCCCTTGCATGATTGATATAATGGCATAGAAGAATTGACTTAAAACTTTCACTAGTGCAGTCTCAACACAATGGAATATGTTATTAACATAAGTATTCATGGAATATGTTAAATTAGCATAATACTACAGAGAGTGGCTCATAAAATTAAAGTGCACTTTAATCTTTTGTGATTAAAATAGCTTAAGTTCATGGAATATCCTAGCACATAATTGGGCTCATTTTGTGCCAATTTAATCTTTGATTTGGGTTCGCGAAATGTCCAAGCAAACATTTGGGGTCATGTAATTGAGATGCACTACGATAAATTTAAAGGACCGTTGTTAAGTTTCGAGACTTTCTCGCTCCAAGAATATCAAGTGGCGTGTCCCGGCAAGTCTCGAGGGGGCAATTTGTAGACACAGAAAATTTGAACCCGACAAGTGGTCTGATACAATTGTTATTGGACCGACGTTGAGATTAATTATTGGGTCAATTTAATTAATTGGATCATATAAATTAATTTAATTTAATTAGCCCAATTAGAATTTGATTTGGGCTATTGAATTAATTAATTAGTTGGCCCAAGCCCACTACATATTTGAATTTAAATATAATATTAATTTTATTATATTTGAATTAGATAATTATAATTTAATTTGAATTTGAATTAGATTATACAATAATGAACCTGGACTTGATCTTGGACAAGGTTAATTTTCCTAATTAATTAATTAATTAATTAGTTAACTAAAAAGGGGAGTTGATTGAGAAATTTTGGTTAAGCTTTTAGTATAAATAGGGCCTTCATTTTCATTCCAAAACACACTTGAAAGCTTGAAGAACTTGAAGGCTTAGAGCTTGAAGGCATTGAACAACTTGAAGACTTAAAGGAGTTGAGAGCATTTGAAGAGCTTGAAGGCATTGAAGAACGCTTGAAGATTTGAAGGCATTTTTGTTGATTTTGCAGGCAATTTGAATCCATTGCAGGTACTTTAGAGCTTTGCAGAATTGATTGTCTCGAAGATCTTGAAGTCTTTTGAAGGCATTTGAGGATCTTAAAGCAGCTTGAATCCATTGCATGTGTTTTGAAACTTTGTAGGGTTGATTACTTTTAGAGCTTTGCAGAATTGATTGTCTCGAAGATCTTGAAGTCTTTTGAAGGCATTTGAGGATCTTAAAGCAGCTTGAATCCATTGCATGTGTTTTGAAACTTTGCAGGGTTGATTACTTCTAAATTCTTGACGCTCGTTGTTGGAAGTCACGCCACTTAAATCTTGGAAGCTACGCCACTTATATCCCGGCGGCACGCGCCACTTAAATCCCGGAGGCTACGCTATTTGAATCCCGGAGGCACTTCCATAGATAACGTCAGTGAAGAATCAGAGGACTAGACAGAGATTTTGTACCTGCATATTAAATTATACATACACTGTACAAGGGATGAGAATATATTTTCTGTATTTGATAATAATGTCTGAGAGTACAGGGAGCGAATATATAGAGATGCTGGATATAATCCTAGTCTAACACGAATAATATAGTCCTAGTCTAATATGGATAATATAGTCCTAGTCTAATATGGATAATAGAGTCCTAATACTCCCCCTCAAGCACAAGGTTGGTCAGCCAAAACATTGAGCTTGCAACGGAGTAAATTAAAACGTACAGACGAAAGAGACTTAGTAAAAATATCTGCTATCTGATCTTTAGTAGAAATAAAATTGACTTGTAATTCCTTCTTCGCGACTTTATCACGAACAAAGTGGTAGTCGATCTCAATGTGCTTGGTGCGAGCATGAAACACCGGATTAGCACACAGATAAGTAGCTCCCAGATTGTCACACCAGAGTTTGGGCACAGAAGGTGGCACAAACCTGATTTTCTTCATCAGAAAGACAAGCCAAGTAACCTCTGCAGAGACATCAGCCAGTCCTTTGTATTCAGCCTCAGTTGATGAACGAGCCACAGTACGTTGTTTTCGACAAACCCATGAGACAAGATTGGTCCCCAAAAATACAGCAAAACCTCTAGTAGATTTGCGATCATCAAGATTGCCAACCCAATCCGAATCAGAATATGCATGAATATCTAGAGAAGGAGAAGATGTAATCTTAAGACCAAGATGTAGTGTCCCATTTACATACCGTAACACCCTCTTGAGAGCCGCCCAATCCGCAGTAGAAGGAGAGTGCATGTGCTGACACAAACGATTGACTGCATAGGAAAGATCAGGCCGAGTTACCGTAAGATATTGCAGAACACCTGCAAAGCTGCGATACTGAGTGGGATCAGCGTATGGTACCACAGCATCAGTCTCGGCCTTCGTGGTTGAAACCGGAGTAGCCACGGGCTTGCAATCAACCATACCAGCTCGTTTTAGAATATCCTTCATGTACCGTTGTTGAGACAGAAGCATGCCATCAGACAACGGAACGGTCTCAATACCCAGAAAGAACGAGGGCACACCCATATCACGAACTTTAAACTCAAGAGCCAACTTGTCAATAAGAGCAGTCACATGAGCCGGATCAGATCCCATAACCAAAATATCATCCACATAAACCAGAAAATATAGACGAGTATTGCCATGTGAATATATAAATAGAGAGACATCCGTCTTGGAAGGTGAGAAACCAGAAAATCATGCAAACGAGTGAACCAAGCACGGGGAGCTTGCTTAAGCCCATATAAAGAACGTTGAAGAAGACAAACGTGCCCGGGCATCGTTTTGTCTTCATAGCCAGGGGGCTGGCGCATATAAATCGTCTCAGCGAGATTGCCATTTAGAAAAGCATTGCGTATATCCAACTGTCGAATAGTCCATCCACGAGAAATAGCTAAGGATAAAAGAAGACGTACCGTAGTCGGTTTAACCACTGGACTAAAGGTCTCAAAGAAATCCTCACCAGCAACCTGATTGAATCCCTTGGCAACCAAACGAGCCTTGTAACGTTCAATCGAACCATCAGCTTTCCTCTTGGTTCTAAACACCCACTTACAACCAACCACATTCATACCTGATTTAAAAGGAACAAGCCTCCGTATTGTTGTGCACCAAGGCATTAAATTCCAAATCCATTGCATCCCGCCATTCAGGAAATTTGACCGCTTGAGTTAAACATGTAGGCTCAGTAGTGATGTCAGTAGATAGAGCGACATGATCATGCGAACGGGCGAGGGCGCGGGACGAGATCGACCACGGGGTCAACCCCTCGGCCGAGCAGGCGGCTGGTCCATGACTGTCCGCTCGGACTCGGTCACGGACGGCTTGGCAGGAACGGGCTGCTGGCGGTGTGGCTCAGGCACGGTAGGAGGATCAAAGGCCGAGACATCACTCGGCTCACCAGGAGGCACAACCGGCGCAACACCCCATGGCTCCGGGCGTGGTGCAGGTACCTGTGAATCAACAGAAGCAACAAAAGGAAAGACAGTCTCATCGAATCGCACATGGCGACAGATAAAAACCTTGTTAGTGTTAGTGTCTAAACAACGATAGCCACGAAAGGATGGGGGATATCCTAGAAAGACACAAGGAGACGACCGAAACTGCAGTTTGTTGCGATTATAGGGCCGCATATTAGGAAAACACAGACACCCAAAATCCCGTAAGTATGAGTAAGAGGGTGAAGACCGATGCAAGAGGTAGTGAGGGGACTTATCAGACAAGACACGAGTGGGCATTTTATTGATAAGATACACAGCAGTTTCGAAGGCATAATCCCAGAAACGTGACGGAACTGAGGATTGGGCCATTAGCGCTAATCCCGTTTCGACAACATGGCGATGCTTGCGTTCTACTCTGTCGTTTTGTTCATGAGTGTATGCACAGGACTGCCTGTGTCGAATACCCAGTGACGCGAGAGTCGAACCAAGCTTTTTGTATTCTCCCCCTAAATCAGACTGAAAGGACAGAATTTTACGAGAGAAGGAACGTTCAACAAGTGACCGAAACTTATCAAATATCGCATATAAATCAGACTTAGCTCGCATAGGATAATACCACACGTAACGAGTGTAATCATCCATAAATAATACAAAATATTTAAAGCCATTTGCAGAAAGTATCGGCGCAGGGCCCCAAATATCTGAATATATTAATTCTAAAGGATGCGAACTAGTGCATTCAACACGCGATAAAGGAAAACGAGACAACTTGCCTAATTGACAATAGGAACAAATATTGGGCAGATCACTTGGATTAAACGAACTATGACTAGAAGAGGCTAAAACTTGACGCAGGACACGAGAGTGTGGATGCCCAAGCCGCATATGCCAGACGAAAGAAGACCGTGCAGCAACGAAAGTAGCGGGAGTCGGACGCGAGGCAGGCCAGACATATAAACCCCCGGACGCATGCCCCTTAAAAAGGGTGTTCCTGGTTTGAATGTCCTTCACAAAGAAACACGAATGGTGAAACTCAAAAAAGACATTATTCTCTTTAGCAGAACACTGAACAGATAATAACGAAGAAGATAGACCAGGAACATGCAAAACATCAGACACACAAAACGACCTAGAATTAGTGGCTAACGAAGTAGAACCAACAGTAACAATAAGCAAACATGTACCATTGCCGACCCGAAGTGTCTCCAGACCATCATATGCAATAGAGGACGTCAATAATGTGGGATCAGGAGTAGCATGATTTGTGGCACCAGTGTCTGGGAACCACTGATGAGAGTCGTCCATAGAACCATCAACACCAGAAACGACAACATTCGCTTGAGGATCCGAATCAGGAGTGAAACGACGCCAACACGCCTTAGCTATATACCCTTGCTTGTTGCAAATCTGACACCGAGGGCCCGAGTTGGACCGCCCCCGGCCACGACTGCCGCGCCCCCTGCCGCGGCCGCCACCGCCTCGGTTTTGCGGGCTGCCACAGCGACCGCCAGGATCACCACGGCTTACGGCCAAGGCCGCCGCTGCGCCGAGAGTCGCACCATCGTCCGAACAGATCCACTCCTGCGAAACAAGAAAATCTGCAACCTCCGGGAGGGGAACTGGCGCACCACGGGCTAGAGTTGCCACCAACGGTCGGAACTCCGGGTGTAAACCGCGAAACACATATAAATTCTGATCATCCAACTCAACATGACGACCGGCGAGGGCCAATTCATCAATCAACATCTGGGCACGACCAAGGTAATCAGATATCGAGGAATCACCTTGACGGAGCCCCTGAAGTTCGCCGAGTAACCGGAGTGCACGAGAGCGAGTAGACGAACCTAGGGTTTGTTCGATTACCTGCCAAAGCTGCCGAGAGGTGCCCTTGCCGACAGCGAAACGAAGAGTCTCCTCGGACAAAGAAGAGATGAGCATGGAGAGGATTGCCTTGTCTTGCCAACGCCAAGCGAGCTGCCGGTCGGGGAGATCGGAAACCGCCGCCGGGGTGCTGTCCGCGGTCGACGTTAGGGCCGGCGATGCCGTCGGAAAGGGTGTTGTACCATCAACAAACCCTAGAAGCCCTTGGCCTTCAAGAAACGGAAGCATCTGAGTTTGCCAGAATAGATAATTTCGGGAGGTCAACTTTAAAGAAACGAAGTGATGAGCCGACGACAGGCTACCACTCGCAGGCATCGTAGGAACCTCGGTAACAGTCCGTTCCGAAAAACCAAGAACAGAGTCGTCATTAACACCGACGTTTTCCATGAGAAAAGAAAACCTAGCTGATACCAGATGAGAATATATTTTCTGTATTTGATAATAATGTCTGAGAGTACAGGGAGCGAATATATAGAGATGCTAGATATAATCCTAGTTTAACACGAATAATATAGTCCTAGTCTAATATGGATAATATAGTCCTAGTCTAATATGGATAATAGAGTCCTAATACAAGAAATTTTGTGGAATATATACAAAGTTTACTTTTTTGTGTTTACAGCATCACATTGCGCGTTAATTAATAGTGAGTGTTTGTGTAGTTATGACCAATTAATATGAAGATATTTTTTTTTTTTTTTGAATATGAAGATATCATTCCAAATGCGGTAAAAATTGTGATACATTAAATGATCAAATCACCATTTCAACTATAATAAGTGCAACAACAATTATTCATCGATATTTTCATTTGTACCACACGAAATGTTTGAAACCAAATAAAAATTTGGATTAGAAGATGATAACAATTGGAATGATGATAATGAACTATGGTAGAAAGCTCTTGAAGTACTTTAATCAATGATTATTGTTTTACATCAAGTTAATAAACATTCAATAAATAAGATACTATTAATAATTACGTATGAAAAGTTTAGAGTTAATTCCAATTTTGGTCTTACTTTAATAGTGATATGTCTACTTTTAGTCCACAACTTAAATAATTTATAGGGAAAATGGCACTTTTTCCCCCTGAGTTATATACTTATAGCGCTTTTCCCCCCTCAATTATTTAGGTAAGCACATTAGTCCCCTCAATTATTCTAAAAGTGGTGTTTTTTCCCCCTAATATATTAAATTGACATTTCTATCCTTAAAGTAAACATTTTATTTATTTTTACTTCTCCAACAAATTATTGCGTATACGTAGGGATGACCACGGTTCGGTATGAACTGAATCGGACACTAAAGCAATCGAATTAAAAGTTTTCGGTTATGATTCAGATCTATAACCCAATATTTAGATGTCAATTTATTAAAATTATGTATAAAAAATTTGAATCTTTAACCGTAAACCGGCGGTTCCGGATCCGGTTTGTGATTTTGAACTGTCTTTATTTTTAAATTTTTAGTTTTTATTTTAAAATAGTCTAAATTCAATAATAAATGTATTTTATTTTTTCAGTTTGGAACATGAACCGTCCGTTCCGGTTCACGATTTTAATAAACTCTAAATATCGGGTTTTGATTCTAAATTGTAATTGGAAATATTTCGATTTGGTTGCTATAGTGTTTGATTGGTTTGAACCAAATTATGGTCATAATTTGTTGGAGAAAAAATAAATGAAATATTTATTTTAAGGGTAAATATGTCTATTTAACATTTCAGGGGGAAAAATAGCCACTTCAATAATTCAGGTGGAAAAAATGCTATAAGTATATAACTCAGGGGGAAAAAGTGTCATTTCGATTGATTCTCATTTGTTGTGACATGGCAACTTTTAGTTATCCGTCAAAAAAATCATTTGGTTGCGTATAATAGGGGATAGCTTATAGTCATTTCCTTTGTTCCTCCCCTTCCATCCTCTAGATTTGGACCAGATGAGAATATATTTTCTGTATTTGATAATAATGTCTGAGAGTACAGGGAGCGAATATATAGAGATGCTAGATATAATCTTAATCTAACACGAATAATATAGTCCTAGTCTAATATGGATAAAATAGTCCTAGTCTAATATGGATAATAGAGTCCTAATACAAAAAATTTTGTGAAATATATACAAAGTTTACTTTTTTGTGTTTAACGCGTCACATTGCGCGTTAATTAATAGTGAGTGTTTGTGTAGTTATGACCAATTAATATGAAGATATTTTTTTTTTTTTAATATGAAGATATCATTCCAAAAGCGGTAAAAATTGTGATACATTAAATGATCAAATCACCATTTCAACTATAATAAGTGCAACAACAATTATTCATCGATATTTTCATTTGTACCACACGAAATGTTTGAAACCAAATAAAAATTTGGATTAGAAGATGATAACAATTGGAATGATGATAATGAACTATGGTAGAAAGCTCTTGAAGTACTTTAATCAATGATTATTGTTTTACATCAAGTTAATAAACATTCAATAAATAAGATACTATTAATAATTACGTATGAAAAGTTTAGAGTTAATTCCAATTTTGGTCTTACTTTAATAGTGATATGTCTACTTTTAGTCCACAACTTAAATAATTTATACGATTGATTCTCATTTGTTGTGACATGGCAACTTTTAGTTATCCGTCAAAAAAATCATTTGGTTGCGTATAATAGGGGGTAGCTTATAGTCATTTCCTTTGTTCCTCCCCTTCCATCCTCTAGATTTGGACCTCACCATAGCCTTGACCTCCATACCAAAAAAAAAAAAAAAAGAAAAAAAAGAAAAAAAAAACGATTCTTAGCATAGTAGTTTGTCGTCTAATTTGATGTCACGATTGAAGATGGCAGTGTGTGGTTCGAATCTCACTGAAGATATGAATGGGAAAAAAGATAGGATGATGGAAGGTGTGGATTAGATATCTTGTGTGCACATGAAGACTAGTGTATGACATGTGGGCTAATTGGCGACTCACGATTTACCTTTGTAGTTGTTCTATAATTAATGATTTATTATACTATTATTATTATTATTATTATTATTATTATTATTATTATTATTATTATTATTTACGGAAGACCAAAAATAGCATTACCACAATAATAAGATCAAATATAAAAATTATTTAGGGTGTGGACTAAAAGTAGCACCATACAAAGTAGGATAGGGAGTTAACTCAAAAATTATGTTTTATATCTTCGGTTTCTTATTTAAGTTAATAACAAACTTAAAAAACAAATCACACTTAATAATTATATTTTTTAAAAATACAAGAGTGAAACTTGGTTTAAAATTTAGTTCAAAGTTAAAGTTGAAAATAGGATGTAGAATTCATATATTCAAAAGTCAATGACACATATGAGTAGACTTTGATATCTTAGTGTTACGAGACCAAACAAATGATTACATGTTTGAGTTAATTATTTAAGTCTTTATTTATTTATTTTTTTTTTGAAAGTTACTGGCTCTATTACATTGTAGTATCTGTTCATATACTTTCTCAACCTACACAAAGAACCAATAACGCCTCCATTGAGGCTCGAACTCATAATCTTCCAAATGGAAGTCCAACCCGGGTACCATTGGACCACATAGTCCTAGTAAGTCTTTATTTATTTATTTATTTATCAATTTCAATTTAAAAAATAAAAAAAAATCATATTAATTAATATTCAAATACAATAATTAAATTGGACAACATTGTTTTAAAAAATAAAAAAATAAAAATTGGACAACATTATATAATATAAAAATCATTTTAAATACTTATTAGATTTGATTGGAAAAATCCAATTTATTGTATCCAATAGCGATTATTATACAATCGTTATGCGTTGGACCCGTGTCCAGCATGCTTGCTGGACACGGGTAACAGTGCCGTTAGGCACTGTTATCTCCTTTTTTTTTTTTTTTTTTTAATTTCAGACCACTTCATTGTAAGAGTATATGTTCATAATTTTATTAATATATGTTAATAACTATACATTCATAACTCCATAACTGTACGTTCATAACTCTATAACTGTACATTCATAACTCCATAATTGTACATTCATAACTCCATAACTGTACATTCATAACTCCATAATTGTACATTCATAATTTTCGAAGCTCTATGTTCACAATTTTAGAGCTCTATGTTCATAATTTTATCACTATATGTTCATAATTGTAAGTTCATAATGTTAGAGCTCTTTGTTCATAATTCGATCAATAACTGTACATTCATAATTCCATACTGTAGATTCATAATCTCATAACTGTAGATTCATAACTCCATAACTGTAGATTCATAACTCTATAACTGTACATTCATAACTCCATAACTGTACATTCATAATCTTCGAAGCTCTATATTCACAATTTTAAAGCTTCATGGTCATAATTTTATCACTATATATGTTCATAATGTTAGAGCTCTGTGTTCATAATTTCATAATTGCATAACTGTATATTCATAACGGCATAACTGTACATTCATAACGGCATAACTGTACATTCATAATCCAAAAAAAAATAATGCCGTTAACGGCAAAACGCGCGCGAATTTTTATTTTTAAACTAAATAACGCGTTTTTTTTTAAAAACGACGTCGTTTTGGGCCCGTGTCCACAATTCAATGTGGACACGGGTCCAGGGCATAATTTGCCATTATTATATACATTAGTTTATTATAGTGGATTAGAGTTCACCATATGTATTGTAGATGATGTCCATATTATGTACATTAGTTTATTTATAAGTACATAATATATTAATTGAATATACATAATATGCTAATTATAAGTATATAACCAGTACCAAGATCTGAAATACATATGGTGACGCTTGGTCCACCCCATAATTTGTAATCCAATAACCTGAGGGGTGTGGTTAAGTGGAAAGGATTCATCCATCTTTAATCAAACGTTAATGAATTGATTCTTGACTTTGAATATAGATCAGTTTTAAATCTCCAAGCCAGTTGTCCCACCCAATAGAGGTGCCTACAATTCAGCGATGGAATTAGTCACTGTGTCCGACGGTGGAAACCATGGGTTACAGTGTTACACCCAAAAAAAAAAAAAAAAAAGATGCAATCTGTTGGAATTTTTAGCTAAAAATGGCATTTTGAGTGATTATTTTGTAGTACAAATATATGTGGGTCCACTTCCGATTTGGGTCGGGTCAAAGTGGATTCGGGTTCTTCGTAGTGAGATGAAGAATTTGATATAATGTACGCTCAAAATGGGTAATAGGTGAAAAAGAAATTGATTCTCAAAGTGAACCTATTTGGGAGAAGTCAAAATCTTAAGCTAATTGCTAATTAAGTTAGCAACTTGTTATTAAGCTTTGATTCGTTGTACACGAAATAAGCTTGATTAAGCTTAAGTAATTAAGCATTGTTTGCTTAA